GTCCCACAGAGCCACTGCTGTGTGGAGAAGAAGGAGAGGACCTGCACCCCATCCTCTGACCTGAGAAGGGAACCCTGAGCCAAGACCAAGTCACCCTCAAAAGATCAAGAGCCTATCTGCGGGAACAAAGAGGCTTTGTCAGACAAAGGCTCCCCTACTGCTTCTCAGAAAGTGGAGTAGAAATCATACATCCCTTCACCCCCACACTAACCTTAACCCTAACCTACCAGCACTGAGGACTGAACGCAGGTCCTTTGGCCTGAGCTCATACCTAGCCTGTTTTTGAAAATGAAATGACTCCCACCCAGCTAACACACAGATAAGAGTGATCCCATTTCAAGATGCAAAATTGAGAATTATGGAGGAGGAGGAAGAGGAAGAAGAGGAAGAGGAGAAAGCAATTAGCACATCCTGGTCCCTCCTAGGGTTCACACTTGATCATGAACTCAAGGATGTTCATGGGAGCATTTTAACATTTCCTGGGCAAAAGCCTGGAAAGTCCCTTGGCTATCAGGTAATAATTAAGCTAGGACTCAGCATCCTGTGACACAGGGCGTAGCAGTTTAGAACTGCTGGATGGTGCTAGGGATGGGGAGAGTAAATGATGAAGATGAAGTGATACAGGCAAGTTGGGAAACAAATTGCTCAGGGCAGTATGCGGTGGTCACAAGTCCACAGAAGTGTACATTTAGCTGGGCACGGCATTGCATGCCTGCACTGGGAGGCCAAGACAGGAAGATTGCAAGTTACAACCCAGCCTGAGCAATTTAGTGAGAGCTTGTCTCAAAATAAAATAAAAATTTTAAAAGTTCTGGGAGTGTAGTCTAGACCCTGGGTTCACCGGGCATGGTGGTACATACCTGTAATCCCAGCACTTGGGAAGCTGAGGCAGGAGGATCCAGGAGTTTGAGGACAGCCTGAACTACATAGCGAGACCCTGTCTCAAAAAACCAAAAAAGGAAAAAAAGACCCTAGGTTCAATCCCCAGGATGATCAAAGATAACATAAAACCTTCATCCTCATTTCACCAAAAACTGATTGTGGGGCTGGGGATTTAGCTCAGTGGCATATGTGCCTGCCTGGCAAGCGCAAGATTGTGAGTTTGCTCCTCAGTATCAACAAACAAACAAAATCCTGATTGTGTCATTTTCCACAAAGATGCTGTCCCATAAATTGTTTTGTTTTGTTTTGAGACAAAGTCTCACTATGAAGTCCAGGCTGCCCTCAGACTCGCAGAGATCCTCCTGCCTCAGTTTTCTGAGTGCTGGATTCACAGGTATGTGTCACCATGACCAGCTCAAGCACATATATTAGAACTGTACAGATTGATGAGTTGGTTTTCAGTAGATATACCAGTTATCGAGGAGCAAAGTTTTTTTTTTTTTTTAAGGAAAGGACATTTCCAGCCCTACCTCTAGAATCCTAGATTCTCATCCCACCTCCCCAAGGCCACCGTGACCTTGATTTCTCATATGTTGCAATTATATTTTAACCAGCAGCTCTGAATCCCAGAGATAGACTTAGAAGCTACCTTTGTGAACCCTATATGGGATTATTAGCATGCATGCCTGATCTTTCCCCTCTGCTCCTGGTACAATAAAACCCTGATCTTTATTCTCTGTGTTCAGTGAGTACGAGGTTCTGTGTCTGATTTAAATCAGCAGATGTGCAAACACACGTGCACAAAGCTAGCAGATGACACTGGGGCAATCAGATGGGTGGATAAAGGGAGGCCAGGTTGCTGGAGCAGGGCAGCATGGCCCCCCAGCAGCTGTCATAGGTGACATTGCCAATGGGCACATCTCAGCCACAGCTTTGACAGGCAGGTAAGAACATCAGGGTTGTTGGTACTTGGAGACTTTGGTTTTTTTCTTTGTGGTATTGGGGATTCAATGTGGGGGCTTTGCAATGAGCCACATCCCAGCCCTTTTCTTTTTTTAATTTTGAGACAGTGTCTTGCTAAATTGCACCAAATGGACTTAAACTGCTGCAGTCCTCCTGCTTCAGCCTCCTGAGATGCTGGGACAGCAAGCATGTGCAGCCACAATCAACTGACGTTATTTTAAACCTATGTAACATCAGTGCCAGCCTTCCAGATGGTCCACTGTCCAGTGGTCATACCTTTGTGCGTGCCTTCTTTTCTCAGGCAGGAACCAAAAGAACATGCTAGAATTGACTTAGGAGTCGCCGTCATATCCATGGTGTCCCAGACACCTACTTCGGGAACCCAGGCAGCTCAGTGGAGAGGCTTCACCCAGCCGTGAGGCCAGGCCAGTGTGTATGCAGACCTTCTAGCTTTAGCCAAGGCTTCTCACTACCGCAGCCTGGTCTACATCTGACCACAGATGCACAACATACCTCAAGTCAGAGCGGTAAGAAAAGAGTCATGCAGAGTCCTCTAAAAAAAAATTATTTTAGCTGGACATGGTAGTATAAATCTGTAATCCCAGCACTCAAGAAGCTGAGGCAGGAGGATTACCATGAGTTCAAGGCCAATGTGGGCTACATAGTGAGCTCAAGACCAGCCTGAACTACATATCAAGAACCTGTCTCAAAAAATGTTTTTGCAGTGCTGGGGATTTGTCCTAGGGCCTTCACACTAGCTACACCCCTATCTATTTTTTTTTTTTTTTTTTTTTTTGAAACAGAGTCTTACTAAATTCCAAGGCTGGGTTCAAGCTTGCAATCCTCCTGCCTTAGCCTCCTCCAATGGTGATGGGATTACAGGTGTACACCCATATGCCAGTTTGAGCCCCTTTGAATCTTGCTGGAGGGAAGGTAAGGATTCTGGGAGTGCTGCCCCAAGATCCAACCCTTCATTCTCCAACCCGGTGAGCACTAGGCCTTAGCCAGGTTGATGAGCTGTATGACTGGGATGTGCCTGCTTGGAACAGGTGAAGGGGTTCAGAGAGCATGTGGTATGCAGGAGCGCGGCCCAACTTTTTCTTGCTCCATGGTTCCTGTGGTACGTCCAGGAAACCCTGCTCCAGGTGTTTACAACCTGTGGTGTTCCCTCTCTGGGGACCCTGGGCCTTGCCTGTAGGACATTATCAAGCACATGTATAAAGGAATTTGATTGCTGTATCGCTCCTCTCAAGGTCCAAGCAGCCACATGCGGAGACCACACACAGAGAGACTCAGGCCAGCCCCTAGCCACCCCAAGGATACTAATTATGGAAGTAAACCTATGGCGGAAGTTGCAGGCTCAGTCACAACCAGACTCTGCAGAGGTGAATGAGCAGAAGAACCAACCATTCAGCAGAGCTCAGTCTACACTGGGATCAAGACAAAGAACAAACCGAGCTGCTTTGTGACCAGGTCTGGGGAAGTGTGTCTTGCATGAGTGGGTAGGAGAGACAAATTTCTGCAGCAGGCCTGAACCTGAGAGGTGAGGAAAACAGTGAATCTTTCAGTGTGAGAAATGCTGGCAGTGCTGCAGAGCAGGACTCTGCAGAAACCCCTATACCCATAGGGCTAACTAAGCACTTGAAATACGGAGTGCAACTGAGAAACTGTTTGGTTGTTTGGTTTTGGTTTTGGTTTTGGTTGGTTTGAGATAGGATCTTTCTATGTTGTCCAGGCTGTCCTTGAACTCATTGCATATCCCAGACTGGCCTCATACTTGATGATGATTCTCCTGCATTAGCCTCCCAAGTGCTGGGATCATAGGTATGTACCACCACACCTGGCAAGAGACTAGATTATTTTCTTAATTTTATGTTTTGGATTTCTTAAATTTAATTTCAGGGCCGAGGTTTAGCTCAGAGGTACAAGCGCCTACCTGGCAAGCGTGAGGTCCTGAGTTCAATCCTTGGTACCAAAATAAAAAAACAAATAAAATTTCATTTTATTTACATTTAAATAGTCTGGGGGCTGGGGATTTAGCTCAGCAGCATAAGCACCTGCCTTGCAAGCAGGCAGTCGTGAGTTCGATCCCTGGTACCGATAAAAACCACAAAAAGACAAAAAAAAAAAAAAAAAAGAAAAAAGAAAAGACAAGAGTGCCTGGCAAACCACATAGAACCCGATCTGTCCCTCAGACAGATGCTTTCTTTCTCTCAATAAATATATTCCACTCTCAACTCAGTTGTTTCTAAAATTCATTCTTCGATTTTAGAGAACACGAACTCGTACTGGACATACAGTAGGCCAGGAGTTTTATTCCCCTATCCCCTTGGGCCTCGCCAAGGAGTCCTCCCATCAGCGTTAGCGGGGCTCAAGCATGAGAGCTTCCTGGATGCAGGAGCTGATCCTAAACACCCGGGAGCAGGAGGTTGGTCTCTTCAGCGGGGACAGAGTGAGGGGTGACTGGGGTTTGGCTCCCCGCAAGTGCCTGCTGAGCTCTGATTGCCATGGGCACCATTGGGCGGTGAGGCCTTTAAGTTGTGATTAGGTCATTAAGAAAAACTGATGCCTTTATTAATTAATCAATTTAATTAATGCCCTCAGGTCCTAAAGAGAGATAATAAGGGGCAGGCTCCTCTACCGCAAGAGCAAGTTAGGAGCCAGTCTGCACCCACAGGTCCTCATCTCCCCTTGACTTGCACCTGGGACTTCACTCAGCAACCTCCAAGCTTTTCTGCCCCTGGCACAGAGTAGGTTGTAGTTCCTTTTTTTTTTTTTCCTCTTTTTTGTGGTGCGGGCAGTTGAACCCAGAGCCTTCACACTGAGCTAAATCCCTGAAACTTTTTTGTTGTTATTGTTACTTTTGAGATCAGATCTTACAAAGTCACCAAATTGCCCAGGCTGGGCTCAAACTTGTGATCCTCCTGCCTCAGCCTCCCAGAATGCTGGGATTACCCAGCTGGGTGCTAGGTGGTGAGCATCACCATACCCAGCTTCCTCATTCTTGGTTCTTTTTTTCTTTTTAATGCATTCTTTTTTTTTTTTTTTTTTTTTGAGACAGGGTCTCTCTATGCAGTTCAGGCTGGCCTTGAGCTCACTTTGTAGCCTAGGCTGGTCTCGAACTCACATCGAAGCTCCTGCCTCAGCCTCCCGAGTGCTGGGATTACAGGTGTGAGCTACCACACCTGGCTCCTCATTCTTTTTAATGTCTGCACAATGTTTTGTGCGGTAGAGAGCCCCTTTTATTAATGCATCCTCTCTGATAAAGCAGGAGTATCTTCCTATTTTTTGTGGCTTTTTTAAATGATCACAGGCAAGTAAGTAAATAAGGATGGAAAATCTCTGCATGATATAGGTGTGGCTTTAGACTCTGCAGACAGATATGTCCCAATCTTGCTAAATAGGTGAAATCCAGGGCTGGGCATGGTGGTGCATACCTGTAATCCAGACACTCTGGAGGCTGAAGCAGGAAGGTTGCTGCAAATTCAAGGCCAGCCTGAGCAACATAGTGAGTTGGAGGCCAGCCCGAACTACATATATGACCCTGTCTCAAAAGACAAGGGTACAGATGCAGCAATCCCTCGCTTGAGCTTCCACCTAAGGTAACTGAGCTCAACGTGCTGGAAAGGTGTCCACTGTGCCCTGCCCACAGCCACCTGTTCCCACCCACAGAGCTATGCAGACGCCCTGGGCGCCCATCACTGCATGAATGGATAAAGAAAACCCAGGGATGCCTACAATGGCCACCATTCAGCCAGCAAACAGGAAATTCTATCAACAATATGCACCAACCTAGAGGACATTTTGTGAAGCACGGAGAGGCAGAAACCTCTGTGTGATCTCACTGACAGGTGGAATCTTGAAAATCCCGAGTGGGAGGGAGAGATGGCCATCACCTGGAACCCAGTCAACATTGAGGAGGTTGAATAGGGCTCGGCACTCCAGTCACAAAGGAGGACTGCGGTTGACACTCACGCAGTGCATGTTGCGAAATAGCTCACAGGGAGCAGGATTTTGAATCACAAAAGAATCATTGCAAAGTATGATAAATGTCTGCAGTCATGGATATGGTGACTGCCATATTTGATCATCACACAGCATATCCATGTTCCAAGTGGGACATTAAAGCCAGGTATGGTAGTGTGTGCTTGTAATCCCAGCACTCGGGAGGCTGAGGCAGGAGAATCCTTGTGAGTTCGAAGCCGGCCTGGACTGATACGGAGATCCCGTCTCAAAAACAGAAACAAAGCATTGAAGGTAGGTCTTTTAGGGCTTTGTGGGGTGTGAAGACCTGAATTTTCACCTGTCCGATGATCCAGGACATCCAGGGAGCATTTAATGGCAAAAAATGGCTTCCTGGCAACACTCTGGGATGGGGCCAGGGGCCAGGGAAGGGGCTACTGCAGTGATCCCAGCCACGTACACGGGTATGACACAAGTGGTCAGAGCCTGGGAAACATGAGCAGCAGAGCTGGCTGTGGGGCAGCATGGGGGTGTGAGAAGCAGCCAGGTGCCACAGGGACCATGGGTTTGTCCCCAGGGCACGTGGGTGGCAGATGTTTCCTGAATGTTGTGCTGTTTAGCACCTTTGGACCTTGCACTGCCTGTGTCTCCAACCCCAGCCTTGTTGCACCCCATTTCCTAGTAGAGTCAGCTCAGAGGACGCCATGTATGGAAACTGCTGTAACCCTGGCTTTGCTTCTCCTTTAAGAGGACAAAGGACAAGCAGCTGCTGCTCAGAGATGGGAAAGGGGCCTTGACCTCAGCCAGCAGCAAATCAGTCAGCAGGAAATGACTTCTAGTTTTTTCCTTCAGCAAACATTTATTGGGCACCTACTGTGTGTCAGGCACTGGGAAGGGTGGGAAACACAGAGACAGCTCTGGGCCTACATGGGGCTTGAATAGAGGGGGAAGACAACCACCAGGAAGGACAGGAGGACAAAGCAGGTAGACAACCAAGAATGGCTCTCAGTATTGAGAATGACAAGTGCAAAGGTCCTGGGGCTCCTGTGCTGGATGGGGTAACCAGAGCTAGGGTTCAGTAGGAGAATAGGCTGGAGAAAGGGGGGGTGCCATTGTGGGGTCTCATGGTCCTGGTAAGCACTTTGCTTCTACTCCGAGTGATAAGGCAGCCACAGGAGGTTCTGTGCAGAAAAGGGATTATATTAATCATATTCCTTATTCTGTGCTATTTTGGCATCTTTTTTCCTTTCTTTTTTGAGATGGGTGAAGGGGAGACCTCAAGTGATCTTCCTGCTGCAGCTTCCCAAATAGCTGAGACTGTAGCTACAAACCACGGCGCACAGCCAATATTTTGACATCCTGAGGTGTGAGGGTCCAGAGAGGCCACTGTCACAGCCAGCCCTGAGGACCACAGATGGTGCCCACCAGTGATCTATGCCAGGCTGATGAGCATTCCAGAAACTTCCCTTTTCCTTGGCCCAGTGGTGAACCATCATCAAAACCACCATAAGTGCCCAAAAACAGATTCTGGAGCCCAGTTTTGGTTTTGGCTTTTTTTTTTTTTTTTAATGTTTTTCGCCATACTGCAGACTCAACCCAGGCCCCAGTCATGCTAGCCAAGCACTGAGCTACTCCCGCGGGCTCCCTCCCCCTTGTGAGACAATGTTGCTAAGTCACTGCGTTGCCCATGCTGCCCTGGAACTTTGGATCCACCCGCCTCGGTCTCCGAAGTAGCTGGAGTCCATGCCAGCACCACTGTGCCCGCGCTGAAGCCAGTATTTATTTATTTTGTCTTTTTGCGACAGGGTTTCACTATGCAGTTCACAGTGGCCTTGAACTCACTGTAACCCAGATCTCAGACTCGCAGCAATCTTCCCCCCCATCTCAGCCTCCTGAGTGCTAGGATTACAAGCATGTGCCACCACGTTCCGCCAAAGTCATATTTTAAAGGCTTTTAAACATTTTGCTTGAGACAGGGTCTCTCTATGCAGCTCAGGCTGGCCTCCACCTTTCAGCGATGCTCCTGCCTCAAGGTCCTGAGTACTGAGATCGCAGGCGTGCACCACCATACCTTGCTGTCCTCATAGGTCCTAAATATCCAGGCAAAAGGACCCTGGCCCCTTCCAACCTCTTCCAGTCTCTGCCTCCTCCGCGAGACGCCCAACCCAAATTCCCTCCGGGAGGAACCAAGACTACATTTCCAGTGAGCCTCAGCGCGTACTGCACCTCCCACGTGCTCTGCTCTGCCCGGCTGAGTGCCCTTCAGCCTCGGGGCAGCTGCCAGCTCCGCCCCTCGCCCTCACCCCGCCTCTTCACCCCATGCCGGCGCCCTACAGTCATGCTTGGCACCCCCTGCCTCCCACTGCGAACCTTCCTCTATTTCCCGGACCAGAGTCCCCGCGAGGCAGCCTGTCCTGCATGGGCCCTGTGCGCCACAGTTGCGTGCTGGGTGCAGCCCCTGGTTTGGGGGCGCGCGCAGGGCGGGGTCCGTGTCGCCGAAGGGACGCGTCGAGGTGCCATCGGACGATGGAGACGTCCGCGCCAAGGCGGGGGCCCGCGCTTCCGGGTGTGTGTGCAGCTCAGGGTTCGGGGTGAGGGGAGCCCCGGAACTGCAGCCTGGCACGCGCGCGCGCGTGTGTGGCAGTGTCTGATGTGTCGCTGTCCCTGCCCGGGTTCCAGTCCCAGCTCTATTCTTGCGGGCTGTGCGCCACGGAGCGGGTGACCCCTCTGGCTGTGCCCTGGCTGTACAGTAGGCTCTTGATAAAAGTCCCCGTCTCCGAGGGCTGTGAGGAGGATTAAAAGGTAAAAGTGTAAAGCGCTGAGAACCACGTCTGGCACAGGGTAAACACTCAGGAGAATAAATAAATAAAATAAACGATGATCGTGTATCTTTTGTGACGAGGCAAGTGTCATGGTCTGTGAGCTTCCTGGGAGAAGTGCTGCCTGTCTGTCTGTGTGTTCTTGGCATGTCCTGTGTGCCTGTGTGTGTACGTGTGTGATGTGTGACTGGCCAGGAAGGAGTCTCCGTAGCCTTGGTAACCTTGTGTGAAGTGTGTATTGTGCATTTGCAGTGCATGTGTCTGAGCCGGTTGTTGTGTGTCGTTTTTGGTCTGCCTCTCATATGCACGCCTGTGTTATCTGTGTGATGTGTGTGCTCGGATATACTCATACGTGATGCGTCTGCATGGGTGAGTGTCGTGTGTTTGTGTATTTTCATATGAGTCTAGCTTTGCGTGTATGAGAGGTGTGCATCTATGGGCAGCTGCACATGTAATGAATCTGTATTCTGGGGAGTGAAGTATGTGTGTCATATGTGTCTTCTCTGTGTCTACACGCATGTGTTGTTTCTGCACACTCACATATACGATGTGCCTGTCTGCATGCATGTGTCTGTATGTCTCTGTGTGTTCCTTGTGTGACATGTCTGCATGTCTCTGTATACTTGTGTCCATGTATGTTAATGCTTGCATTCCTGGGTGTTGTCACTTATTTGCCTGTTGGTGTCTGGTATCTGGGTAGATCTTTGTCTGTGACACGTGTCTGTGGCTTTGAAGACGGACTTTGTCTGTGGTGCATGTGGGTCTTTGTGAGGCTTTGATGTCCCTGTGTGGCCCTGTGCACCCTGCCTGTGTGTTTTCAGTGCGGCCTGTTCCTGCGTCTTTGTGTGTGACGTGTATGTGTCCCCGTCTGCTGATGGCTGTCCACCTTTGTATGTACCGTGTTTGTCTTTGAGAGTCCCTATAACGTATGTCAGCTCTGTGTGGACTGTGCATGCTCGACATCTGCATCTTGACGTGTAGCACACATATCTGTGCTGTGGCATGTCACAGCAGCGTCAGGGCCAGGCACTGGGGACTCTGGGTCAACCCCCATGCAAGGGTCTGCTGGTCTTGTCTGTCCCCCACCTCCTCTCTCTCCCCTCCCTCCTGACAGCCAATGCTACAGGGAGCCAGTCGCCATGACAACACTCCATCCTCCCTCCATCCTCCCTCCTCCCACCCTTCCTCTGACAGGCTCTCTGCTCCCCCAATCCTGGTTGTCCTCGGGGGCGGGGCCCTCATTCTCGCCCCCCCATCTTACCCTCTCCCCCCCCACCCCAGCCACCCCGGCTCCCCAGCTCCTCTCCTCTGTCTGCCTCTCCATCCCTTCATCAGTCTGTCCCTTCGAAGAGGGGGAGGGGGGTACCTGAGCTAGCAAGCAGCCCCTCCCTCCCCCGTCCTGCGTCTCCTGCCCCTCTCCTGGGCTGGGGGGAGGCCAGGGTCGTGCGGGTCCCCATGGCCGGGGGCTGAGGGCCCGCCCCCCCTCCTCCCCAGCCGCCACCACCTCCACCTCCCTTCCATCCTCGACAAGATGCCTGCCCCGGGCGCCCTCATCCTTCTCGCGGCCGTCTCCGCCTCCGGCTGCCTGGCGTCTCCGGCCCATCCCGGTGAGTTTGTCCGGCCATCCGTCCGTCCAGGCCCCCACCCCCACTGCGGCCTGGCTGCTACTGGGCCTTGTCCGCGGGGCTCCCGGTCCATCACCTGTGCGCGTCTCAGCGCCTCCGAGCTGGGCCTGTGAGCCACGGGAACAGTGCTTGTGTCGGCCGGGGCCTGGGGGAGCTCGGCTGGGGGGTGGGCTGGGAGGGGGCCTGTCTGGCAACATGTGTGTTTATGTGCACGCATGTGTGTGCGTCGGGCCTGTGTGCAGGGAGACAGGGAAGGCCGGGCCTCTGGGAGACTGGGAGCAGAGGGGAGCAATACTATTTCTAAGGGGCGCACAACACAGAGGCTGACTGGCTTTGGGGAAGACCCATGGCTTGCAGAGTGTCCCTTCTCAGGGGCTTGGGCTGGGGTAGGAGGACAAGCCTGGGCTCCCAGCGTCTTGAGAAGAGACAGTTCTCAGCACCCCTGAGCAGCAGCGAGAAGGGCAGTGCGGGGCTACAGTCTTCCCCTGGTCAGTCTGCAGTTGGGAGATCAGGGTAATGAGTGTGCCTGTGGGAGCGCATTATAAATGCTGAGATCTTTGGGCCTACTACTCCTTCCCTCAGTCCTCATCCGAATTCTTTGATGCCTGGGGTGAAGGGATGCAGTGGGGGGGTCCCAGTTTGGGCGAGAGAAAGAACCCCACCCCCAGCCCGACCACCTGGGAAGGCTGCAAACTACAACTCCCACAAGGCCGTGGGCCATCTGGCTCTCCTGACAAGGGGCTCCTGGCTTCAGATTATCTTGGGAACTGTAGTCCAAGGATGATCAGGATGGGAGGGGCACGGAGTGCAGAAGCCAGGTGCCTGAAGCGCAGACCCCAGCCCAGCCCTGTGCCTACAGATGGATTCGCCTTGGGCCGGGCCCCTCTGGCCCCTCCCTATGCCGTGGTCCTCATTTCCTGCTCTGGCCTGTTGGCCTTCATCTTCCTCCTCCTCACCTGTCTGTGCTGCAAAAGAGGCGATGTCGGTTTCAAGGTGAGGTGCCTGAGGGTCTCATATGTTTCCTCTCCCCTCAAGCCAGATCTCAGGGAGGAGGGGCAGCAAATTAGAGAGCTTGCTCCAGCCTGAAGTTATGGTGGCGAGGCCTGGAGCCTTAGGATGTGGAAACGGGGGTGACATTTGGGCTTGGGCTGGACGATATTATGAGCACCAAGGGGCAACACACTTAAGGGAAGGATGCTAGGGTGTCTCTCAGTCCTGTGTTCTGCTCCTCACCTGCCTGGTTCCAGGAATTTGAGAACCCTGAAGGGGAGGACTGCTCCGGGGAGTATACGCCCCCCGCGGAGGAGACCTCCTCCTCACAGTCGCTGCCAGATGTCTACATCCTCCCACTGGCTGAGGTCTCCTTGCCAATGCCTGCCCCGCAGCCTTCACACTCAGGTACTGCCCCACACCCAGACCAGTGTGCCAGGCCCAATGGCTCTGAGCGTCTTCTTTCAGGGGTCAGGGAACTGAGCCCCGAAAGGCAGAGGTGGGAACCCCAGGTTCATGGGAATAGCTACAGAGAAGCAGACAGATATCATCTTGGGGGAAGCCATTGGTTAATCCAAAACCAGACTTGGGGATTCATGTGGAGCAATGGATGGTGAGATCAGCTTGGATCTCATTCTCAGAGACAGCCAATGGGAGGCTGAAATCAAGTCATAGGAGCTTGGTTTGCCAAAGGGAAAGACTGATTGGATGCTAGAATGTTGTGGGCAGCCAATGAGGATGCTGAGATCCTGTCGTGGAATGTTGGAGGCAGCCAATGAAAAGAGATTGGTGTCTGCCTTGACCTGAGTTAACCATTGAGTTGGGGGGGGGCACCTGGGAGGGAAGAGAGGCTCAGGGGTCTCCTCCATCCCCTTTCCCAGACATGACCACCCCCTTGGGCCTTAGCCGTCAGCACCTCAGCTACCTGCAAGAAATTGGGAATGGCTGGTTTGGGAAGGTGAGTGGGGCTGGATTGGGAGGTGGGGGTCCATACAGACCCGGCCTGTGTTCCTGTTCTATGTTCATCCCCACCTCCGCTCTCACCACTTCTCATCTATCCCTGGATCCCAACCCTGCCCTCTCAGCGCACCACACACCTCACCAGTGCCCACCCGCCACCTCCCCCTGCATCTGTCCGGTCAGCGCCTCCCTCCTCACTCCATTGACCACTCCGCCTCGTCATCCGGCTCTCCACACGTCTGTCCGTCTGTCCATCCTTCCATCAGTCCCTGCGTCCATCGGACTCTGGGCCCGTGAGTCTCTCACCCATGTCTGGTGGGGGATGGACAAGGGTGGCTGGGCATGAGGGAGGGGCTGAGAAGGAGAGGGGAGTTGGGGTCCCTGGGGCCAAGACTGGGGACATGGCCCTGTTTGCTCCATCTGGTGCTCCTCATTCAGGTTATCCTGGGAGAGATCTTCTCCGACTACACCCCGGCCCAGGTGGTGGTAAAGGAGCTCAGGGCCAGTGCCGGGCCACTGGAGCAGCGCAAGTTCATCTCAGAAGCCCAGCCATACAGGTATGAAGGCCTCTCTGCCTCATGGGTTCTGGAGTGTCCAGCTTTGCACCTCCATGGAGGTAACACTGGGGAGAGGAGAAGTGTGGTATGGGATTGTATCCTTAGTCTTTCTCTTCCAGGCTGTGTGGCTTGGGCCCAGGAATTTCCCTTCTAGAGCGTCAGGTTGTCCTGACAAGTCTTGGAGTATGCAGTGCACTGGAGGTGGGGTGCGCTGAGGCTGAGCCCAGGGAGCCTGTGTGTCCGTGATTGGGGCAGCAGGAAGGTCAGGGGATGACCTATGTTGATTGCATGGTGAGATATGAGTTCCTCGCTTGGAAAGTGTGTGTATGCAGAAAACTCTTATCAGAGCTGTGGTAAAAGTGACACAGATACTGACTTTGACATTCCCTTGCTCCAAAACCCCCATGGCTCCCTACTCCCCACAGAGCAAATTTTGTTTTTCCTTACTACTGAGAGTTCCTGAAGCCTGACCCAGCTGCCCACTGACTCTCCCGTGTAGCAGCATCTTTCCTGCCCTAGCCTTTGCTTTTGCTTTTGTCTTAAGCAGAATTTCACTGTGCTGTAGCCCAGGCTGGCCTTGAACTCACAGCAATCCTCTGCCTCCGCCTCTCAAGTACTAGGATTATAGATGTGTGCCACCACACACCGAGCTGTTTTGGGTTTTTTTTTTTTTCTGTACTGGGGATCAAATTTATCACCTTGAGCTTGTCAGGCAGATGCTTATGCTGCTGAGCTAAATCCCTGGCCTTTCCAGTTCTTTTTTTTTTTTTTTTTTTTTTTTTTTAATTTTGAGACAGCATTTCCTTAAGTCACTAAATTGCCCAGATTGGACTTGAATTTGAAATCCTCTTGCCTCAGCCTCCCAGAGTGCTGGAGTCACAGATGAGTGCCACCATGCTCCATCTTGTCTTGCCTTTTGTCTGTCTCTCCCTAAAACCTGAGTTGACAATGACAGCTATTTAGAATGAAATCCCAGTCACTCATATCCTAGCCACACCAGCTACATTTCAGGTGCCCCAGCTATAAGTGCCCCATGCTGGACATTTCCACTTTCATAGAAAATGCTGCTGAGCAGAACAGGTCTTCTTTGGCAGCAGAAGGTCCATCCTATTGCCCTTGCACAAGTGCCATCAAGCTCGGCAGACATTTCCTGTGAGTCACAGGCCTGAGATCAAATACCAGTGTGGGCAGCATCTGCAGCTGTGTGACTTTATGCAAGTCACTTCCCCTCTCTGGGGAATTCTGGGAGGATTTGGTGATGGAAGTGGCTGGTCTTGGCCACAGGTGTGTGGTGACTCCAGGTCTCTTCTACGTCTGCCATCCTAGATCTCCCACCCTGGCCATTTCTCAGCCCCAGCACATGGCAGGTGCGTTATGAATCCTCTGTGATTCTTCTGCCCGCTGGGCATGGGAGTCAGGTACCTTTTCCCAGGGGGAGAAGGCCAGAGGGAAATAGCTGCTGTTAGAATGAAGAGTGACCCTTGCCTCCTGCTAGGCCTTGGCAGGGGAAAAAAAAAAAAACTTTCCACACACCCACGGAACTCCAGGCCCTGTGTGTGGGTAGGTTGCCACTAGGCTTTATTGAGCAACTATTTACCTACATATCAGGGACACAGCTGGGAACAAACTCCCAAAACTTCATCCCAGAGAGGGGTACCGTACATAGCAGAGAAGACAAAAAATATGAATAATTTGTCAGGTGTGATGGTCCACACCTGTAATCATAGAATTCTGGGAGGCCGGAGCAGGAGATCACATGTTGGAGCCCAGCCTGAGCAACTAAGTAACATAGCAAGGTCCTGTTTCAAAATAAAAATAATAAAACAGGGCTGGAAAAGCAACTCAGTTCGGTGTCTGGGTTCAATCCCTACACTGAAATGAAAGAAAGAAAAGTAAATACATTTTCAAAGGAGGAACTATAGGAGAGTAAGTGCAGCGAGGAAACGTGGGGGCCATGTGACAGATACCAGGACCTCTTTGACAGGAGGAGCATGGCAGGGGTGGGCAGGACTGACTCGGAGGCCTCAGTGGAAAGCGTGTTCCAGGCAGAGGGAAGAGCAAGTGCAAAGCTGGGAGATAGGAGCCAGCTGCCCAGAACTACAGTAAGGCTGGAGGGCAAAACACATTCAGATAAGAAGGACAGAGCCAGGTGGACCTCTCACCAGCTTCTCTGATCTCCCTGTTCTACAGAGAAGGGAAATGAGGGCAGGGTGGGGGGCATGGACACTGGGAGACTTGGGCTCAGGATTCAAACCCACAGTGTGAGGGTGCAGGAGGCCCAGTAATGGGGGCAGTGAGGCTTCCTGAGAAGATGGTGCTGTAGCTGGGGTGGGGAGGGCTTGATGAGGAGAGGGAGTCCAGGGCAAAACATGGTGGTGCCAGCGTGGGGGCAGTGACATCAAGAAGCCAGGCCTCTGGATGGCACGGAAAGCCACAGAGGATTGTGTACAGGTGAGTGGCAGAGGAGGGACCAACTGTAGGCCCAGACTGCGGGGATGGGGGGAGGGGACAGGGGAAGGATGGGCAGGATGAATGCTGGGGGTGAGGAGGCAGATGGGGTCCTTGAGGGACCATGCTGAGACGGGGTACCTATGGGGTAGGGAGGGCCGCTCTGAGGGGGCCAACTGAGTCCACAGTGATGACCAGTAGGGTTAGGCTCTGCTGGGTGGTGGGTGGGGCCTTCTCTCTCACAAGCCACCTCTCCCCAGGAGCCTGCAGCACCCCAATGTCCTCCAGTGCCTGGGCTTGTGTGTGGAGACGCTGCCCTTCCTGCTGATCATGGAGTTCTGCCAGCTGGTGAGGGCCCCTCACCCTAGCACCCTTTCCTCACTGATACCTCTGTGGCCTGTACTACCCTTTCTTCAGTGCTGGCTGCACCCGTGGGCCTTGAGCTAGCAAGCCAGGGGGTTCTGGTATCACCCTCTTTTTTTTTTTTTTTTTTTAATCGGTACCAGGGATCGAACTCACGACCTCCTGCTTGCAATGCAGGTGCTTATGCCGCTGAGCTAAATCCCCCCGCCCTTTTTTTGTCTTTTTCTTTTTTATCGGTACCGGGGATATAGAACTCACGACCACACATTTGCAAGGCAGGCGCGTATGCCGCTGAGCTAAATCCTCAGCCCTGGTATCACCCACTTTGAGCAGAGCGACCCCATCCTTGTTTGAGGGAGGTGCTGTTGTGCTGACCGAGGCCTGCCTCCCTCCCAGGGAGATCTGAAAAGGTACCTTCGGGCCCAGCGGCCCCCTGAAGGCTTATCCCCGGAACTGCCCCCGCGGGACCTGAGGACACTGCAGAGGATGGGCCTGGAGATCGCCCGGGGACTGGCTCACCTGCACTCACACAATTATGTGCACAGGTGGGGAGAGGGGGTCACAGCGGGGAGCCACCCAGGCGGGAAGGGGCGGGAGGCAGAGAAGGGGCTGGAGAAGGCAGTGAGAGCTAGGAGAGGAGGAGGAGTCAGGTGATGACGGGGAGGGCCAAGTGTGGAGGGGGAGGAGTCGTGTTAAAGGGGCGGGGTCAGGCACAGAGTGGTAGGGGCCAGGATGAAGGAGAGGTTAGGTAAGGAGAGAGGGAGGAGCCAAGAGAGAAAAAAGATTCAAGGGAGGAGACCACTAGAACGGGGAGGAGTCTGTGGAAATTGGGCGTGGCGTCCTGCGCTTACCCCGCCCCTCTTCTCCCCAGCGACCTGGCCCTGCGCAACTGTCTGCTGACTTCGGACCTCACGGTGCGCATAGGAGACTATGGGCTGGCGCACAGCAACTACAAGGTGGGGCTGCCCTCCGCAGGGTGGGGTGAGGTGCGGAGGCCCTGGCCCGCCTGACCCGTTTTCCCTGCCAGGAGGATTACTACCTGACCCCCGAGCGCCTGTGGATCCCCTTGCGCTGGGCGGCGCCCGAGCTCCTGGGGGAGCTGCACGGCACCTTCATGGTGGTAGATCAGAGCCCTGAGAGTAACATCTGGTGAGGCCCGGGCCTGGGGGCGGGAAAGCTCCCATTGGGAAACTGAGGCTGGAGAAGTATAGGGTCCCCTTCTACAGGCCAGTGCTGGACTGAGGCCCCTGCCCCTCTGTTTCCTGCAGGTCTTTGGGGGTGACCCTATGGGAGCTGTTTGAGTTTGGGGCACAGCCTTATCGCCACCTGTCAGATGAAGAGGTCCTCGCCTTTGTTGTCCGCCAGCAGCACGTCAAGCTGGCCCGGCCAAGGCTCAAGCTGCCTTATGCAGACTACTGGTGAGGGCCAGGCCCTGATGCCGGGCTCTTGACCTCCCCCAACCCACCCCAGGGTGGCCCCAGGACCCCCTATTTCTTTCTGTGCCACCCACAATCTATCTCACCCCCCCATACTACCCCAAGAGGAGAAAAGGCCAGCATCTGCTACATGGACAGGGAAACTGAGGCAGGCAGTGACAGAGCTGGGATCTGAAGTAACTCTAAATGACCCCAAATGATCCCTGCTAACTCTAAATGACCCCTACTGCTTTCCTGTGTCTGATCTCAGGATTCACAGCCACCTCCTCATTATGTGCCTCCCTGTCCCTCTTCCCGGAGTCTCCTCTCTCCCCTCTCTGTAACTCGGTCACACCTCTAGATTTTCCCCCCTCCCCATCTCTCTGTCTCTTTCTCTCTGGGTTTCTGTCCTGCTCACTCTTGCCTTGCCCCTGTCCCCCAGGTATGACATCCTGCAGTCCTGCTGGCGGCCCCCTGCCCAGCGCCCCTCGGCCTCTGATCTCCAACTGCAGCTCACCTACCTACTCTCCGAGCGGCCCCCCAGGCCCCCACCCCCACCACCCCCACCCCGAGATGGTCCCTTCCCCTGGCCCTGGCCTCCATCACACAGCGCACCACGCCCAGGGACCCTATCCTCACAGTTTCCCCTTCTGGATGGCTTCCCCGGGGCAGACCCCGACGATGTGCTCACGGTCACCGAAAGCAGCCGTGGCCTCAACCTCGAGTGCCTATGGGAGAAGGCCAGGCGTGGAGCTGGCCGGGGTGGAGGGGCACCTGCCTGGCAGCCAGCATCAGCACCCCCAGCCCCCCACGCCAACCCCTCCAACCCTTTCTACGAGGCCCTGTCCACACCCAGTGTGCTGCCGGTCATCAGTGCCCGCAGCCCCTCGGTCAGCAGCGAGTACTACATCCGCCTCGAGGAGCATGGCTCCCCACCCGAGCCCCTCTTCCCCAACGACTGGGACCCTCTGGACCCAGGCGTGCCTGCTGCCCAAGCCCCCCAGCCCCCCTCGGAGGTCCCCCAGCTGGTGTCCGAGACCTGGGCTTCCCCCCTCTTCCCTGCGCCCCGACCCTTCCAGGCCCAGTCCTCTGCATCCGGCAGCTTCCTGCTGAGTGGTTGGGACCCCGAGGGCCGGGGCGCTGGGGAGACCTTGGCAGGAGACCCCGCCGAGGTTCTGGGGGAACGGGGGAATGCCCCATGGGCCGAAGAGGAGGAGGAGGAGGAAGGCAGTTCCCCAGGAGAGGACAGCAGCAGCCTTGGGGTTGGCCCCGGCCGCCGGGGCCCCCTGCCCTGTCCCCTGTGCAGCCGAGAGGGGGCCTGTTCCTGCCTGCCACTGGAGCGGGGAGATGCTGTGGCCGGCTGGGGAGGCCACCCTGCCCTTGGGTGTCCTCACCCCCCAGAGGACGATTCATCTCTGCGGGCAGAGCGGGGCTCCCTGGCCGACCTGCCCCTGGTCCCCCCCACATCAGCCCCTACAGAGTTTCTGGACCCCCTCATGGGGGCCGCAGCACCCCAGTACCCCGGGCGGGGGCCACCTCCCGCTCCACCGCCTCCACCACCACCTCCCCGGGCTCCCGCGGAACCAGCCGCAACTCCCGACCCCCCATCGGCCGTGGCCAGTCCAGGCTCCGGCCTGTCATCTCCGGGCCCCAAGCCGGGAGACAGCGGCTACGAGACCGAGACCCCTTTTTCCCCCGAGGGAGCCTTCCCAGGTGGGGAGGCAGCCGAGGAGGAAGGGGTCCCTCGGCCACGGGCTCCCCCCGAGCCACCCGACCCAGGAGCGCCCCGGCCACCCCCAGACCCGGGTCCCCTCCCACTCCCAGGGACTCGGGAGAAACCAACCTTCGTAGTTCAAGTGAGCACCGAGCAGCTGCTGATGTCCCTGCGGGAGGACGTGACAAGGAACCTCCTAGGAGACAAGGGGGTGACATCCCGGGAAACAGGACCCAGGAAGGTGGGGAGAGGCCCCGGGAACAGAGAGAAAGTCCTGGGCCTGGACAGGGACCTGCCAGTCCTGGGCGGCGGGAAGAAAGCCCCAAGCCTAAGCCTTCCCGTGAACGGGGTGACAGTGTTGGGGAATGGGGCCCAGAGAGCCCCAGACATCGAGGAGAAGCCTGCAGAGAACGGGGGCCTGGGGTCCCCAGAGAAAGAAGTGAAAGTGCTGGCGAATGGGGAACTGATGCCACCAAGGAGGGAGAAGGCCCTGGAGAATGGGGAGCTGAGGTCCCCAGAGGCCGGGGAGAAGGTGCTGGCGAATGGGGGCCCGATACCGCCCGAGATCGAGGAGAAGGTCTCAAAGAATGGGCTCCTGAGCTTCCCCAGGAACACGGAGAGGCCGACAGAGACTGGGCCTTGGAGAGCCCCAGGGCCCCAGGAGAAGATGCACGAGAGTGGGGGGCCAGCCCCCGAGACCCTTCTGGAGAGAGCCCCTGTGCCCGGCGAGGTAGCCTCGCCCCAGAACGGCTTGGAGACATCCCCTGGCCCCCTTGGTCCAGCCCCCAAGAGCGGGATACTGGACCCCGGGATGGAGAGGAGAGCCCACGAGACTGGGGGGGTGCCGAGAGCCCCCGGGGCTGGGAGGCTGGACCTCGGGAGTGGGGGCCGAGCCCCAGTGGGCGTCGGGATGGTCCCCGGCGGAGGCCCCGGAAGCGGCGTGGACGCAAAGGCCGAATGGGTAGACAACATGAGGCAACAGCCACTGCCACCGCTGCCGCCTCCGGAAGCCCAGCCGAGGAGGCCGGAGCCAGTGCCCCCGAGAATCAGGCCGGAAGCAGTCTCCGAGGGAGAGCCCGGGGTCCCAGACAGCAGAGCCGGCGGAGACACGGCACCCAGAGGAGACGGGGACCTCTCCAAGCCCGAGAGGAAGGGCCCCGAGATGCCACGACTGTTCTTGGACTTGGGACCCCCACAGGGGAACAGCGAGCAGATCAAAGGTGAGGAGGTTTGGGGAGGTGGGGAAACTGGTGCACTCTGCCGGGGGTGTGGTCCAATCTGGGCACAAATCCTGACGTTTTCCCTTCCCTACTCTGAAGTCTTAGGCAGAGATGTTTGCTGCTCTGTGACTCAGTTTCCCTGTCTGTCAAGAACAGGTGACCAGTTCAGGATGATTGTGAGGGTTGAGTTAGGACCCAGGGCCCAAGCCTGAGTCAGGAACTGATACATCCTTCTAGACCAGCGGTCCCGAAGTCAGACTACAGAAGGTACTAGGAAGGGGTGAAGTGGGCTGAGGAAGAGATTGGGTGGGGGAGAAATGGCCTTGTCTATAGGGGCTGCCACATCCCAGGAAGCCCACCCAGAGTTTGCCAAATCTGCTGCTTTTCCTTTTGAAAAGGAATTCCAAGAAAGCCCAGGTGCGTGTGTGTGTGTGTGTGGGGGGGGGGGATGTTGGCTGCTGGCCTGTGGTCTCTGCTTTAAACTCTCTAGTGAGCTGGGGTGTCTGCCCAGTGCACCACGCTTCCAGCAGCACAGTGTTGAGGGTTGGGGGAATTAAAAACAGAGGTCAGGACGGGATCATAGCTTGGTGGCACAGCACCTACCTGGCAAGTACAAGGTCCTGAGTTCGATTCCTGATTACCCCTCTCCCCCAAAAGAGGTTGGGCTGGCTTTGCCACAGAGCTGTGGCCTATGAGTAGATAAACAAAGAGGAAGGATGAACAGCCGAGTCTCCACTGACCAGTGGGGCCTATGGCTTGGGCAGCAAGGGCCAGGACAGGAGCTGTGGCAGGCCTCGGAGATGTATTGGGGGGTTCATGACCAGTGTCTGAAGACAGCATGAGCATGTTAGTTGTTGGCAGCTGTCAGTTTGGGGCTGCTGGGTAGAAAAGGCTAGGAAGAGCTTTTTTCTACTCAAAGAATTCCTATTCATTGCCCTACCTAAGTGCCCCTCCCTGCCCCACCTTCCCTGGGAAGCTGACCTGGCTTCTGAAGGTTGTCACCCTGCCCTTTCTCTGAGCACTGTAGGTACCCTTTCTGTGGCACGCCTTTTATCCCATCATCTGAGGTCAGGTTTGGGTTGGAAGAGAGATACTTTCCTCCAGGGATCCAAAATCCTTTGCTCCCTGCAGGCTGAGACTGGAGAGCCAGGGCAGAACAGGAGTTTGGAGATGGTTAGAGGCCACAACTTTGGCTAGCAAGGACCAGTGAGGGAAGTACTTGGCCAGGAACGCAGCAGGGAACATCCCATTAACCCCAACAGACCTGAGTACTTCTGCGTGTCCTGCTGGGAGATCTCTGAGGGCTGGGAAGGCCCAGAGCCCCAGGACCAGCAGGAATTGAACCAGAAAAGGGAACAGTATTGCATAGGCTCAGAGGATATGGCTGGATGAAGGCCAAGCCAGAATGAGGTGGGGACAGACAGCGGTCAGCCAGCTGGGGCAGCCAGCCTGCTATGGGAGAAGATGGGCTTTAGGCCCTGGGTCCTACAGCACCGTGGGGCAGGGGGGTACAGAGAGGAGGGTCTGCCTGAGTTTCCCCGACGGCTCACGCTCTCTCCCCTGCAGCCAAGCTCTCGCGCCTGTCGCTGGCGCTGCCGCCGCTCACGCTCTCGCCGTTCCCGGGTCCGGGCCCGCGGCGACCCCCGTGGGAGGGCGCGGACGCCGGGGCGGCTGGCGGGGAGGCCGGCGGGGCGGGGTCGTCGGGGCCAGCGGAGGACGGGGAGGACGAGGACGAGGACGAGGAGGAGGACGAGGCGGCGGGCGCGGCGGCGGGGCCGCGGGGCTCCGAGAGGACGCGGGCAGCCCCGGTGCCCGTCGTGGTGAGCAGCGCAGACGCGGACGCGGCCCGCCCGCTGCGGGGGCTGCTCAAGTCTCCGCGCGGGGCCGACGAGTCCGAGGACAGCGAGTTGGAGAGGAAGCGCAAGATGGTCTCCTTCCACGGGGACGTGACCGTCTACCTCTTCGACCAGGTGGGTGCGGCAGGCACGGGATGCGAGACAAGCTGCAGGGAAGCTTGTCCCCCCCCCCGGAGGGCGTGGCGTGAGTTTGTCACGCCCAGAGGGCGGGGCATAGCAATGAGGTCCCGCCCTGGGTGGGATCTGAGAGTGCGCTTTCGGTGAGGGGCGGCACAACCTTAAGGGGCGTGGCTTGGATGCAGGCCACACTTCGAATAAGAAGGGCCTGGAGCGAAGCTTAGTTTAGGAAGACGTGATGAGCCCCTGGAGACTAGAGCAAGAATGGAATGGTGGCAGGGCCTGTGGGGTGGTGGGAGTCCGTAGAGAGAGGCGAGGCGGAAATGTGTGGTGGTCCTGAAAGAAAAGGGAGATAGTGGTTAGGTAGTAGAGCCTGGAAAGCTTAGAGAGAAAGAAGTACGGTCTGATCGTGGGGCCGAACCTAGTGCGATTTGGGGCGGAGTTTGTGGATCGAACCCCTAATGACCTTAGAAGCTGTTGGAGTGGATCTTACCCAAGAATTTTAAGCATCTTGGCAGGTAGTGTTAGGATATTTAACTGCTTGGGAGGCTGAGGCGGGAAGGTCGATTGTGTCCAGGAATTTGAAGTCATCCTGGGCAATACAGCGAGTTCCTGTCTCAAAAATGAAAATAAGGACCGGGGATATAGCTCAGGGAGGGCACAATTTCTTGCCAGGCAAGAGTGAGGTAGTGAGTGCGATTCCCCGGACACAAAAAAAAGAAAGAAAGAAACAAAAGAAGTCGGGTGTAGTGGCACACACTGTTAATTCTAGCACTTAGGAGGCTGGGCAGGAGATTGCCGTGGATTCGAAGCCAGTCTGGGCTACAAAATGAGTTCATGGTCACCCTGAATTGCAAAATGAAACCCTATCTAAAAAGACCAAAAAAATAAAAGCTATTAAAAAGAAAAAGAAAACAAACAAAACTTCTGGGGCTGAGGGCTGAGTTAAGTGTAGTTGGAAGCCCGTCGTAGTGGAGCTCACCTGTATTCTCAGCATGCGGGAGGCTGAGCCAAGGATGCAAACTCGAGCCAAACCTGGGCAATCTAGTGAGACCCTGTCTCAAGAGGAGCTGGGGTATAAGGCTGAAGAAAGTCAAGGTTAGGTGGTGCTTGTTAACTGGCGCAGTCTAGATGAACCTGGCATAGGATACTGCGGTGGACTGGTTTTCCAGCTGGGGTCGGAGTCCCCTCCAAAGAAGGGGTGTGCGGAGGCTGGGGAGGGATCTGGAGGGCCATGCATTAGGTGGCCCAGATCTGGAGGGGGATGGGCGGGGTCCGCAGCCACGTGAGGAGCGGGCTAGGTTAGACGAAGGCGGCTGGGGCCTGGAGGGCAGGTGCTGAGCTGCGGCCTCCTCTCCGCGGTTGTTCATCGGATATCGGATACCAAGGGCCCGAGTGCGCCTGCAGCACGGGCGCTTGCGGGATAGGCGGTGTGTAGGATGTGACGGTTCTTTCGCTCGCGATTCCATTCATCTGCCTCCGCAGGAGACGCCAACCAACGAGCTGAGCGTCCAGGGGCCCCCCGAGGGGGACACGGACCCGTCAACGCCCCCAGCGCCCCCGACGCCTCCCCACCCCGCCACCCCAGGAGATGGGTTTCCCAGCAACGACAGCGGCTTTGGTGAGGGCGGGGCCTCCGCCGGGCCAGGGGCGGGGCATCGGTGGCCGAGCCTCTGGTGCTGAGGGTCTTTGGGGGCGGGGCCTCTCGGGGGCGGAGCCGAGCCCGGGCCTTGACCCAAGGGTCTAAGGGTCCTGCTCTCCGCTCCCCCAGGAGGCAGTTTCGAGTGGGCGGAGGATTTCCCCCTCCTCCCCCCACCAGGGCCCCCCCTGTGCTTCTCCCGCTTCTCCGTCTCGCCTGCACTGGAGACCCCGGGGCCCCCCGCCCGGGCCCCCGACGCTCGGCCCGCAGGTAAGGCTCCCCACTTCTGATCCATGTCCCGGTGTGTCATCCTCCTCCTCTCCCCTCCCAGAATTTCCCTGCCTCTTGCTTCTCAGGCTTTTCCCAAGCATCTGAGTCACCACTGCCTTGTCCAAGTGGGGTCCTTCCCCAGCCTCAGTTTCCCCTTTTATAAGACTTGTACACACATTTGTGCCCATCTCCATCCCATTTCTGGGCTCGAGCCTGATGGATTCATGGATTCGTTCGTGGAGAAGGGGATCTGGCAGACAGTCAGAGGACGTGGCCATCAGTGAGTCTGTGACAGACAGAATGACTCGCCACAGAGTAGCAGGCAGGATGCTGACCACATTCCAAACCTCGAGATGAACCCAAGGGATCCCATTTTAGCAAGGGGAGAATGGACCTAGAAAAGAGTGAGGAACCAGGATCCGGGCCGCTTTGCTGGCTCTGAGCCCTTGCAGGCCTCATAGTCCTCCTCTGCCACACACCTTGCCTCTGGTGCAGCACTGGTGCTAATCCCCAGGCCACCTTGGCAGAGGGTCAGGGCCTTCTTAGTGCTGACTGCGGGTGCCACCGCCACTGGGAGGCCAAGCAGGCAGGACTGGGCTCTCTGCTGCCCTCTGCTGTCCCACCTGAGGATGCCCCGGCGCACAGGGTCAGGGAGAAGGGCTGGGAAGGCAGAAGTGCAACAGGGCTTTGCCGTGGGGGATTCCATTTTTGCTTCCCCAAATGTCTCCAGAGTCCACGTATTGTCCCCCATTCGTGAGCTGTGTGACCTGCAGCAAGTCACTTTCCCTCTCTGTGTTTTATTTTCCTCATCTGTAGATTAGGGATGATAATATGACCCAGTTCCTAAGAGGAATTAAATAGCTTGACCCACCAGTGTGTGCAGTACAGGGCCTGGTCATATACCAGTGGCCTCTGGCTGTTAGCTGTCATTACGCTTCATGTTTGTTGAGTAACCAGTGTGCGGGGTCCTGCCTGCCTCTGCCTTCATTGATCACACAGAGTCACCGTATTAGAACAGCCATGAATGTAGGGAAAACAGATGGCAAGAGGAAAGGCCGCTATTCTCCTGGTAACTGTGTCACCTGGCCAGGGACCTGCAGGCTGGTTGACGTTAAGTGGTGTTGGGGAAGGGGACGGTGTGCTGGGCCGAGAATAGCTTGTACAAAGGCCCAAGGGCAGACTGGTCCTGGGACAAGATGCCAGGGTGGCCATGAGGAAGGGCATGTGGTGTGGTGGCCAGGGGCTGGATGTGGTTCTGGGCAGAAGGGACCCATGGAGGACTGTATGCAGGGAAGGATCTTGGCACACACAGGGCCAATGAGGGGAAAGAGTAGAAACCTGGTAGCTGGGGAAAGGCTGGGAACAGGGTTGGGCCTTGCTCTTCTTGGTTGTGTCTCCAGGCTCGCCCCGAACGTCACTGCTCCCTGACACTCCACCACCAGGGCCCTGAGAGGGCAGGGTAGGGTGGGTCCAGGATGTGGGAATAAATAGTGAATCAGGGCTGAGGCTGGCAGGGCCAGCTGGGAGTATGACCTCGGTTTTAGTCACCAGGAGCACAGCAGAGGGCCTGGTCATGCGGAACCCCAGATCCCTGCACGAGGCCGACAGATACTTGGAAGTCACAGAATCCCACCTGTTTGCCCAGGCAGCTGCTGTGCCCAGCCGAGTGATAATCCCACATGTCCCAAAAATCTCCCCCACTCCTTTGGAAAGGAGCCAGAGCCCCACTTTCCATTGAGGCTGGGGCAGGCATGGAGGACCACGGTCCTCACCGAGCTTCCTTAGACTCTAGAGCAGCAAGCAGACAGCAGCATGGAGAGCCAGAGTGACTGTGTGACTGGGGATGATCAGGGAGGGTCCCTGCCAAGGGCACACTGCAGCACGGAGCTGAGTTGCTTGGGCAGGGTGGGGTAGCACCGTCAAAGGCCCCATGGTAGGCTGTGCTTGGAGCGTTGCGGGAACAGTCTGGGGGCCACTGTGGCTGGAGTGGACAAAGGGAGTCAGAGGGGTGGAAGGCAGACATTGGTATATATACGGGGCCTCCTAGGTCACAGCTTTGCTTTCACTCTGAGCCACCGGAAGTTGGTAATCTGGCCTCCCCATAATCCTGTGTTTCTCCATTCTCTCCATCCTCAGGCCCCGTGGAGAACTGATTCCCCAAAGACCTGACCCCCCCGCACCCCCAGAAGAGGGGCTGAGAGTAGAATCCTCTGTGGATGACAGAGCCACTGCCACCACTGCAGACGCCACCGCCTCCGCCTCTGGGGAGGCTCCTGAGGCTGGGCCCTCCCCCTCCCCCACCGTGTGCCAAACGGGAGGCCCCGGTCCCCCGCCCCCCAGTCCCCCGGATGGCTCCCCAGACCCCCCAGACCCCTTTGGTGCCAAATGAGGCAGGAAGCCCCTCGCCCCTCCCCGGAGAGCCGCCTTTCTCAGAACTGAACTGAACTCTTTGGGGCCTGGAGCCCTGGG